CAAATCAGATGAGACCAGATCTGTGACGCACGAAAACAAAGCATACCTGGTTTGATTGATGTTTCGAATGCTAAAATCAAGGTTCCTACTTTCCCCTCCCCCTCCCCTGTCATTCATTTTTTTTTGCTCTTGTCCCAGCTTTCCAGACGAACCTCGCGAGGAAACGCTTGCTACGCAGGCTAAGACGATTAGCACCCCCCCCTCACACTTATATGGGAGTTCGCACCCCAGATTAGATGAATTTACACCAATTCTCTTGGTTATTACCTGCTGCTAGATTACAAATTTTCCCATCTCCAGTATATGGACTCTTACAAGAACACTTGTAAGATCCTTCAGTGTTAATACATAAAGCGTTCTTATGACAAGCGTGGACACCGCTGGCACACTCATCGCTATCTGTGGCGAAAAGTTTCAAAATACAGAAATGCAAATATGTTTTGAACACACAGTTTAAGCTCCTATTTGCCTAGGATGCCGAAATCAAATGGGATTTCCCACCGTTAAGAGCCTGTACGAGTCAGTGTCAACAAATTGGCCGAGCAAAATGTCATAATGGCCGTTGGGTGCTGCGCACTTTTAAAAAAGTAAGTCAGAGAATATATTATAACTAGAATTAAGCTTATAAGCTTATTTTATGCTCGATAAACCGTATACCTTCTAATACATTGTTTCTAATATTTACTGTGGTTAAAAACTTTGTACGTTGTTTGGTTTAGGGTATTATCTAGTGACTTTCTTGTTCGGTTTGTGGGAGAGATATCTTTCTATGGTTTTTGCAACGCAAATTTAGCGTTGAATTTTTACTTCCCAGTTGAATTGCAAAATAAGATTACCAATTATATTGTTTAACTTGATGCCATGACTATACTTGATGTAAAATGTTTGTCCTCCTTAGCATTTCATTATTCATTGTTTTCATTGGATCAACTCTATTGTAATTTGCAATTCCCCCTAAATTTTCATTTTGTTGAATTTTAACTCCCGGTATAAAAATGTCAGCACGTGAGTGAATTTTTTCGCCCCTTGTAAGGGAATCCGGATTGCCGAATCCGGGAAATTTCGCTAATTAAAGCTTTGTGGTATCCAGAATCCAGGAACTTTTTCTTGTGGAATCCGGAATCCTGGGCTTCACAACTTAGGGAATCAGGGTCCGACTTATGATTGGAATCCTTAATCAAAGTTCCACTAACAAAGAATCTGGCATCCAGTATCTGAAATCTGGAATCCATGGCGTGGAATCCAGAATCCTAGACTTTCTTAGATTCCCTTACTTACAGCAAATTCTTGCTATGAAGTTTATAATGAATTTGATGACTTTTTGAATGGAAATGAAGCAATTGTATTTCATATGGAGAAATAGAAATCCCAACTGGCAAGCTAACAAGTTAAGTATTTCAGGGGTGGTTCCAGAAAATTTAGAAAAAAACAACCCTAAAAAAGAACTAAATTTCAAAATAAATTAAAGAAGGACTGTGGTCTGCTTGGACCAGCCCTTACTCTGCTCATGTATTTTTATTAGTGTGACCAAGGAGTTGAATTTGGGACTACTGAGAACAACTCCAATTTGTTGCAGTTTTGTGGTTAGAGTGTTATAACCTTGCTCTCAGGCTTCTGTCATACTTGTCGCCTGGAGACAAATAGCAGAGACCCTGGGAATGAGTTTGGTAAGAATGAGGACCGGAAACCAACTGCATTGAAGTCGAGTGCTTTAAGTACAACATTATTATTCAAACTTTTAGGGGCCGGGTACATTTTAGAGGGGTTAGAGTTTTATTGTCGGAATATGATTACTGTGTTGCTGGGAATATATTGGCAATAAGAGACACAAACAAACTTGCAAGGAGCATATGGTTGTCAGAAATGAAAGGCAAAATTTTTTTGGTGAAAACATGAAAGAGCTTATTACTGACCAATGCATGTTTTACCATCACCCTGGTAACCAGCTTTACACTCGCACTTATAAGATCCCACAGTGTTAACACACTGTTTCTTTTCCGTATCACAACTGTGTAAGTCTCTTGAGCATTCGTTGATATCTAATCAAAAAGAATGACTAACATCAGTCTTCTCCTTACTTTATAAATACGTGATCAGGGAAAAGGGTTGTGAGGATTCATTGATTGATCACTTCAGGCGACATGCTTTGGTCTTCTATCAAATTTTCACTCCTCTACTATAATTCTTTAAGGAAACGAATGGAAATTAAACTGGAGAATTTGTATGTAGATGTTAGGGCCAAAAAAACTAAAGACCATTGGCAACTCACTCGAAACTTGCACTCCTGTGGAAAAAATCAGCAGTTGGTTGGCAAGAGTACAATTGGGCTCTGACAAGAGAACTTCAGTTTTGAAATTCTTGGCACTTCGTTACCCTTTTTAGAAGAATTACCATACTGCAAAGCTTATATTTTTACTCACTGTTTCCACCCAATATGGCCATCACAAAAGCCAGGAACTAATGAAAACTGCAAAATGTTATGTAGGAATATTCACAATAATATTTTCCGCCTAAAATTGGCAGGAAAACAAGAATATTCAGCCTGGACCTGAACAACAACATTCTTAGGGTAACAAAAGAGTTTAGTGATAATTTTTAAAGTAAGCCATATCTAAGACCTTTAAGGTATCATCCAAGGTAAAAAATCATCATTTTTCTAAATTTGCAATTTTTAGACGATTAAATAGAGCTCATCAAGAGCTTTCTTTTAAAAAAAATTCCAGGAAAAAATGTTTTTTCTGTGCAAACTTATGGAGTGCAAAAGTTTTTTCTATGCTTATTATTTTAATTGATCGTTGACAAGTCCTGTCATACTTGATACGCGTGCCGCAGTTGAACCAAGCTAATCACGCAATTTGACAGAAATCGTTGTTTACAAGTATAGTGCTCACTGTTTTTCCCTTGAGTTTGAAAGTGAATGCCTCCAAAGAAGAAAAAATAGCTTGTCCGTTTTCGTCCTCGACTCAAGACAAAAGAAGGCGACAAAATCGTTTTGCCGCCAAATTGTGGGCTTCGAAATCAGCAGAGAGCGACAAGGCTCCTACTACAATCAAGAAAGCTCCTGAAAAACCCATTGAGACTACCGCGGAATCGAGTTTCACGAGTTCGTTAGCGAGCGGAGCGAGCTTTTTAGGCCGCGAAACTGCCAAGCGAGAGGCGAAGTCACGAGAGGTTCCGCGCCATATAAAAATCGGGCGAAGTACTGTTTTGAAAGTCTATTGTAACGGGAAAGAAACTTCAAGAAAAGCTCCAGGAAGCGGTTTGTTGTCGATTTTTCCAGGGAAGTGTCGAACTTTTAAAAAATGTATCGAGTAAAAGTGGGCTTAGCTCAACTTGGGTTGTCCGGTGCGAAAATGAAAACTGCCCGTTGGAAATAACTAATGAAGCTTTCTCGACAAAAGAAAGGATCGAACAGAGCAGAGCCTTTGAAATAAATTGTTCATCTGTTGTCGGGTTTCGTTTTCAACTATTCCTGCTGTGTCACTATTGTTGTCTCTTCTCTAGTATGGATCAACATTGACAGCTTTGGTGTTATAATCTGTTATAATCTTATCACGGGTAATACGCCGCCAAAAATCTTTTTCCACTGTTTTCTCGAAATGAAAATCAGGTCAAGTTGAGGGTACGTTTAAAACTCCAAGTCGGCAACCAGTGAACCAATTTGGCTGAAATTTGGCCAATTTACTGTCAGATAGTTTTTCTAAAAAACCGTGTCTGCGAATTTTGATTTCTTTTTTGGTTTTGGAGTTAGAGTATTTTTTTTTTCACAGGTAGTGCTAATGATTTGCTATCCCTAACTTCACCTGCTTATAACAACAGAACAAACGCACTTGACAAAAATCTGAGACACGGTTTTTTAGTCAAACGTGTTAAGAAGCGAATGCGTTCTTAATTGGCTTCTTCCGTTAATTTTTGGCTGGACTGGACTTAAATTTACAGTGACACCCACTTTCAGTAAAAGCCTCTAATTTCTAAATGGCGTTAATATTTTGATTTTTTAAAAGAAATAAGCAATAATCTGGAACTATTAAGCTTTCAGAAACTGTACGGTTTATGGGGGTATTTGTTAAAAGCGAAAGCGCTAGCGCCGATCAACGCGAGGAGGGTACTTGAGGGTGGATGATGCCTTAAATAAGCTCTGTCTGAGCCCCGTCCTAATACTTAAAAGTTGAAAGCATCATATATCACTGCCTATCAGTGCACGAAGTTCCGTATCCAAAGAATCCTGGTTTGCTGGTGCACGTGAAAGATCCAAGGGTATTATTACAGTAGTTGTTGGCATTACAGTTGTGCGTGTTCATAGTGCATTCGTTTAGGTCTACAAACAACAGAAAAAAAAGAAATTGTTTATAAGGATAGCCGAAGTCATAAATATGATGCCTTCAAATTGTATCTGAATGGAGTGGTGGAGGGTGGGGGAGAGGGGGGGGGGGAGGGTGGAGTTGATAAATGAGCCCTTTGAGCAGGCGAGAAGCAAAGAGATACATGAGAGATAGAAGTTTCTTTACCAAAATCCATAATAATGTAAAAAATTCAAATCACTTGATTAGAATTTTGGATTAGAGAAAGAATCGATGCTTAAAAAACCAAAACGTTATGAAGGACATAACTTATTATCGGCCAAACGAAGATTAGTTTTACGAAAAATAAGCACGTGGCGTCGGAAGTGTAAAGGCGATTGTTTAAGTGGTCACCAACGCCCGTACTTCTTTACTGTATGGAGATCAGTCTGGAGAATTTGTTTGTGGATCTTGGGGCTTAAAGAGTTATTTAGCGGAAACGGACATGTGCCACTAAACAGGGTATTGTTTGGTGGGTCTTGACTTGAGTTTTGAATAGGGTGTGCAAATTCATTTTGTAGAGTCTTTTGTAGGGATGTCGTTTGAAAGTCATCATTCGGTGAGAACACATTCATTAAATTTAGCAACCTTTAGCTACACTCATACCGGTATACTACGATTGTTTAGGGCCTAAAATTAAGACACACTGTACTTGTTGAGTTAAATTAGTGTTATGGTCACCTGACCATGTCCAGCAGCATTGTAACAACATTCATTTTGCTGATTCTTTCCAGCGTTGTAGGATCCTCCTCCTCCTCCACAGGCTTCCTGTAAACCTTTCCCGTTACCACCCCCAGAGTAGCCTCCACCACCACCACCACCTCCTTCCCTTCCATGAGCACCACCACCTCCTCCAAATCCCTCACCAACATTGTTAATACTAGCTCTTCCACCCACTCCTCCCTGAAGAAACCCTCCACCGCCTTCTCCACCAGTCCCCATGGAACCTCCAAACTGCGTTGAACTTCGTCCACTGGTGTAGAACCCACCGCCGCCACCGCCTAAAGTAAAGAAATAAAGAAGCTTTACAAATTCCCTTTTCTTTCCGATTCTCAGTAGTTTAAAAGACGGAGAGCACTATCCAACTGTACTGTAAGTTTCCTTTACCAGAAACAGATTCAAAAAAGGGTGGCGAACTTCCTGCCGCTAGTAGGCTTTGGTAGATTGTGCTAGCATAATTTTAAGCATAATTCAGCAAAACGAGCACTGTTTTAAGCTTTTATTTCAGTTTAGCACTGCTAGCATAATCCGAGCTTTTATGCGTTGAAAACAAAAAAAAAGACCATCATAGCTCTGGAATAATTCAGTTTGTATTTTATTTCTGTATTGTTTTTGGAAAATATTGAGGTCTGTGCTAAGGCCCATGGTCAAATATCATACTTCTTAGGTCACCCTGTGCATATCTGAGAGACTTAGACTCTCCTTAGGCCACCACGCTTATGGCTCGGCGGCTCGGCCCCTCAGGCTTCAGATCAAAGATGGCGTCGTCCTCGAGTGCATCCACTTCCACCACTTCCGCCACTTCCAGTGCCAGGGCCCTCGTCTGCAGCAGCTGAACGAGTATTCTCTATTCTTAACTCATCGTTCAACGATTCACAAGACCATGCTCTCGTGGACTATTTATAGGCTTGTGTAATGCTTCAGTACAATAACCGATAACACAGAGATTAACAACATTCATAGTTGTCTTTATACTGAACTGAGGGCTTTGCCTGGATAGCGTCTAAAACAAGTATACGGGCTATAACTATCTGACCCGGATTCAGAACCCAGAAACGGTTGATTTGGATATCATTTGGTAATCATTTGGCTTTTCGAGGTGCGCACATGCGTATTTGCGATGCTAAAGACTGTAAGACTGGAAGGTAGACTATATGAATGTTCATTAAAGTCAAAATTGATAGAGTTAAGCTACTGATTATCTTTATTTTCCTTAAAATCAGTGTAAAATCTAAGTAGCAAAATTTTGGCATAATTTCTAAAAAATATGAGCAGTGCAAAAAGCATAATATGCTTTTTTTTCGAGCACAATCTACCAAAGCCTAGCCGCTAGGGACGCGAGGAGCGAGAATGACGGCTGTTTCGCGGGCTAATGATTGAATGGCAATATTTTTCGCTACGATACCTAGATAAAGAGGATGAAATTTTTCCCAAGTGTAAATATCACGTAATCAAAAATTTCAGTTGAAGAAAATTCGGCGAGCTGAATGGTTTACGCAAGTAAATGGAGTTGCCGTATTTATTCGATCAACCGCCCTGGGCGCTTATTAAATTTTTGGACCTCGAGAGTGGGCGCTTATTCGAGGTGGGCTCTTATTCGAGGCTGGGCGCTTATTAAATTTTCACCATTTTCAGCAAGTGAAGTATGTTTATTTTGCTACAAAACAATAAATGCTAATAACAAAACGCGAAGAAGTAACAACGCAAGGTTTCTGTAAAATACTCTGAAGAAGACTCCGTCCTCGGGGAAGTCTCTTATTAGAATTTATTCACTCAAGTGGGTGGGGTGGGGGTGAGCGCTTATTTGAGTTTGACTGGGAGGAAGAGGGGGTGGGCGCTTATTCGAGGCTGGGCGCTTATTAACCTTTTCTGCCTTTAGGATGGGCGCTTATTCGAGGTGGGCGCTAATTCGAGGTTGGGCGCTTATTCGAATAAATACGTTAAATAACTTTCACACCATCTAAAAATATAGAAGAGAGTAGAGAGTGAGATGTGATTTACTGTGCCAAAAGCGGCAAACGGGAGATTCAAGTTGAGAATTTTTCAAAATGAGAAATGAGCAGTCAAATGAATAGAATTGGCGTGAATCTACCGATTTTCGTGTAGTTATAATGAACCGGTAAACGACAATTAACGGGAAACCTTGGTCACGTAGTACAAATGTACGTTTGCCTTTTTCCGAAAACGCGATGCTTAATCTCTCTATTAATAACTTCAAAGTGTCAGTTATTCAAGAAAAGCTTGTTTAGTGGTACCCTGGGTTCCAGAGGATATTTTTGTCTTATCGATACTGATAGTTCGCGGCGAAGCCGCGTCAACGAGGCGCGAAGCGCCGAGAGAAAAAAAAAACCTCTGGTCACAGGAGCTACAAGTCTCATTTCCATGCAATTTTAGGATTAAATATCTCACCAAACCGTGCATGTTTGTTTTCACTGACGCTGACAGCTTAGATTTGATCGTACGTGATTCTGCGTCTGCGATGCATGACAATAGGATTGCGCGAAAGCTCACTTTGCTACGGAGTATTAAAAGTTGTCACAAATTCTTTTCCTAAAAATACACTTCAAGTTTACAAGTATATAAAAAGGACAGAAGTCAGCTAAGAAGTCTGAGAAGTACACACTCTGCATGTTTTTAGAAGTCAACAGGATAAAAAGAGGTCCGCGACACTTGTATTACTTTACCAGGTCAAAGTAAATATTGCCAGACAAAACGGCTATACCAAATAAAACATCATTCTGCTGCATTTTTTAGCAAATAAACCGCGCCGCGAACAATCAGGAATTAGGGAAAAAAGAAAAAAACTTTTGCAACCAGGGTACTATCCGTGAGAATTCAACATCGTGGACATCATGCAAACAACTTGACTGCGGAACTGAGCCCAGCAAGACAAAGCTGGAAAAATTCAAGCAAAGCTTCTTCCTCGAGCATCGTTGATCCAGTTGTCGGATGTTCGCTTAAATTATTTTGGAAGTTTAGCCAGAGATTGCTTAGTCACTCTTCAATTCCAAAAGGAAACATGAAAGCCGAGATCTCCGAATTATAACCCGGGATTATATTGTTTGTTATGAACATCGCAAGCGGTTTTTTTATCTCTTGCTGTGAAGTTCTACGATGCGGCCAATCAAGGTCACTGTCACAGCGTTAATAGGGAGCTTAAGCAACAACGACGGCGACGGCTGCGAAAACGTCACTAAAAAAGTGAATCCGCGTTGCTTCAAACGTTATCCTGCTTATTCCATCTCGTTTACTTCGTCAAATGTTGGCAAATGTTTTTGGAGTTGAATTCTAAGAGACTCTATCAAAGTTCAGGAAAAGAAAAAGAAAGTTTTTGTCTTGTGTTCCCGTCCACGAGAAAACGTGAACGTTATAATCGTGCAGTAACGGCAAAGAAATTTAAAAAAAGCGTGACGCACGTGCAAAGTTGTTGTTTTGCCAATCTAAACCTATTGCTTAAGCTCCCTAATCAGCCCCCCGCGGACGTGGGAGTAACTAATCGGCGACCCAGTTCAGATTCTGAACTGATTTCTCGCATGGAAATGAGGTTGCTTTCTCGTCTCGGAAGCCTTATCAAACGATAAGCACGGTTCATTTAATATTAGGTATTTTGAGAACGGACCTCTGGAGCCAGGGTAGTTTAGTGGATTATCTTACTGATTCCAAACTGATGGTCACAAGATTGGTGCTTTTAAAAGAAGAATCCACTCTTATACAGTTAAATTTTCTCACCTTGATTTGTACTCTGGCCGGTCTTTGCTCCGGAACCACCACTGCCTCCCTCCAATGACAGGTGCCCAGTTCTCCCTTTATGCTCCGTCGTTGCATCACATCCAGTATATCTTGTGTTGGAATAATTCACGCCTCCTCCTCCACCAGCCACTATCAATGGCGTTTTGCTGCCAACCATCACCACAAACGTACCTCCACCGCCTCCAGCAGAAGTAGTTACCTTGTTAATTCCACCCTCTTGACCCACGAGTATTTGAATTGTTTCGCCTTGAGATAAGTTAAAAGTCCCCTCCATTCTAGCACCTCTTCCACGATATATGCCCCCGCTACTTCTCGTGTCGTACCCCCCTGCAGCTCCTATTGCCTCTATTCTGTAGTCGCCTGTGTACGGCACGGTCCAGCTTTGAATACCGCTGACCAATGTAACTTGACCGTCATGATCCTGACCACTGTAGTAACTACCAAGGGAAGTTGGTGGCAGTCTTCCGCTCGCGCCGAGGTTTGTGAAGACAGCTCTGAATGTTCTAGAATGGTTTTGAAAATAATCTATAATCACTTATCTGACTTTCAATGATTCATCAATAAACAGGGTCTCTGAAAAACAACATAGCAAATCGACAACAATTTTCATTGGTCTATACTCTTATTGACTAAACAAATGACGTCAAAGTGTTCAAAACTCAAGTGGAACCAAGAGCCGCGGCCGAGTGGTTTCACTGCAAAGTTTTGACGTCCATTTTCGTTGAAGTTTCTCGGAAAATCGCGCGCGAGAGAAAAGGAAAAACAAATTGCGCCACCGTAACGTGTGGTCGTTTACGTCGTATGGTCTGTAATCTTATCGAATACTGTACAGCTCCCGTTCAATCAGCACGCGAGAATCCGCTCATTTAAAAAAAAAAGAAACTTATATACCTACTTCAATAAAGGTCACATACATATTTTATTATTTTTCCCGAAGGGGCTTTTCAATAATAAGCTATTAAGTACAGAAATAATTTTAAAATTAACTGGCTAGTTCTAACTATTGCAATAAGAATATTAGCAATAGAAAGAGAGAAAACCTACCACGGAATAAATGTAATGTTATATATATAGATTTAGCCGGGGCTAAAAGCTTAGCTCCAGTTATAAATTTGTAATTTAAATCAAACTATAAACTTGTATCCACAAATCAGTTAACTGGGGAAATCCATATGACTTTTAAGGGTGGGGCTGTGTGATTGTAGAGAAAACATCATTTGCAAAGTGTAAGAAAGAAACAACATCTAAAATCTTACACCCAATGAATAACAATCACCGTTGACGGCACTAGATGAGGCGTGGAAAACAAATTCTTCCCATCAGTGCAAAATGACCTATTTTTCCACCTACCCCATGCACCTTTATTTTATACGGAGGGTCGTAGAAGGGAGGGGAAGGGGGTGGGGGGTTCCTCTTGTACGGTTCACGGACCCAGTAACTAATCACGGATGTCAAACTTTCATTTTAGTTTCGAGTCACATAATCAGCATGTTAAGTTTTTTTTTTTTAATCTTGTGGTAAGAGTCTCTGAAAAACAGCTCGAAAAAGGAATATTAAGAATAAAGGAATATTAACAATATTAACATATATTACTTATAGTGGAAATCTACAATATTTACAAATGTTCAAAGCCGAGGAAATTAGATCTCTTATTGTTCCTGCAATAACTTAGATGCAAGAGACTGTTTAAAAAGTTTTACATTCCTAGAAAGTTTCAAGAGACTGGTCAAGGGAATTCCATACACCTACAGTTCTGTAATAAAAAGATCTTTATCCACTTGCTGTTTTAAAAAAAAAATATGTTCAGTTTTTGTGAATTACGAGGTCTGCGATTATTGGGAACTAACAATTTGTCCTGTAAAATTGTGAAAAACCGCATTCTGTCCGAGGTATGTAAGCTTACCGTAAAAAAAACACAGCTTCATAGTATACTGTTTACCTCAGATATGATGCATAAAAAGTATAGATGCATGACTAGCTTACACTTCACCAGATTTGTTGGCAAGATTTTGTAATAAAGTAAACTTGTCGAAAAAAAATTGGGCTTGATTTTTTTTTATTTGGGCCTCCCTCTTAAACAAAGGAATGAAACCTTTTAATTTTAATACAATGTGTAAATTGCATTTACCATTATGGCTCTTGACTCATCGAAGATGATTGCTATCGTTTGGGTGTAAATATAAGGCTATTAACTCGATGTCAGATTTGTTTCACTATTGGACTATTTGCACATTATTTTACTTTAAAGTCATTTAGCTTTTCCCTCAAAAGTCACATGAACGTGTTTGATTTAAATTATAGCCCTAGCTAAATCCACATGTTAAAACAACGCATGCATCTGTTAAGGCTAACATAAAATCTTATTGTTCATGTGATTTTTTTATTGTTTTGACGTAATTTGAGGAGATGACGATGAACTGTTTGAACTCCGCGAGGGTTGGTAAAGTAAAAATTTCAAAAAGCAGTGAGACCTTTTTTAACAATTTTCTAAAAAATTGCTTTTCATTGACAAAATAATGCATCAGAAAACACAGTTTCATAAGTTTAGAGATAACTTGAGTGCAATCGTCCGGTTTGATCATCTTTAGTTTCGCTGATTCCTGCTCATTTTTGGCTTTTCCAAATTTCTCTTATTTTATTGAACCGGCTTTCAAAATTTTAATGAAATTCAGATATTTCCTGAATTTTTCTGAAATAGCGTGACGTTAGCCCGTTAAAATCCAGTAGAGCGAAGCACAGAAATAAATAAGACGAAGCAGTTTACTTCTTGTTCCTCTACTCATGGTCAAACACTGAATTACTCGACGTATTTCGCATGTTAAACACTCGAAAAACACAAACTGTAACGAATACATCCCACAAAGGGATTTTTTGATCATCCCGTCAATTCAACTGCGATGTAACCCCCCCCCCCCCCCCCCCCCCCCCCCCCCCCNTTAAAAAATATATTTATTATACGTTTGTTTCTCTAGTAAATTCGCAAATTGCAAGACATAGTGTACTCACGGGACAGTTAAATCAGCTAAATTAAATGCTCGTTTTGTTTGTTCTGAGATAATTTATATATCCTTTGAAAAAGTTCGCGATTTATTTCTCCAAGATTTTTAAAGATTTATGTACTGAAAATCGGGCAAAATTGCCAAGGAAAAGATAAAGGCAACAGAAAAATAGAAATCATGTCGCCGTCTTTACGAATACTTTTTACTTTCTACGCCAACAGAAATAACCTTCGAGATCTCCTTTAATCTCGCAAGAAGTGAAATGTGATTGTGCTGACTGTTTTATTTTTAGTTTAAAAAATTAAAAGGTAAAAGCTTTTTTTTAAGTCAGCGAGTCTGCAGTTTTCCCAGGTATGAAAAATTTGCATACTAAAAAAAACTAGCAACGGAAGTAATTTTGGTTGGCTGACTCCTGCAAATGTCAATGAATCCAAAAAGAGGGCGGCAGGCGTTTCGTAGAAGGTTTGTATCAGGCTCTCTTTTGGTTTCGCCTTGCCCGCCGGAACGAAAATTGAGCCTGATCTCAGGTTAAGTTGAGCCTAGTTAGGTTACTCCAACCGTTAAATGTTGCTGCATGGTTATATTTTTGGTGGGTAAAGAAGTCAACACTTGTTATTGTTCTTTGCGTGGTTAGAGAAGGATTAAAATTCCAATACCCGATTTGCATGGTAGCCACACTGTAGTTTTTTTGTTTAGTAATAGCGCAGTCCAAATACTGTATACTACAACTACCGGACGGAATTTTATAACTTGCGGGGAGGTGTTTTTTTTTCGTTGAAGCAAAAAAGTCGGGGGTTTGTTGTTTAAAAACAAAATCTACAACCATTTTCATCAGGAGAGATGTGCTCGGTCCACATGTTACGCGCTTTTAAACAATAATATAGTAATGACGCAACGTATTAAATCGATCGCATAATTACCTCTCTCAAAAATAAGAAGCCTTAATCAAAATTCTATACAAAAACCAAATTCCGTGGTGAAAAAAATCGAGAAACATGCAAGTAGAACCATGAGAAAACAGCTTGTCATTCCGCTTACCTTGTGCTTTTGTTTCCTGCTTCGGAGCGGCTGCACCTTCTCCATCCGCCATCTTCATTATGACCAAAACCAAAGCGGCAACAGCGATCACGAACGTTACGATAATGACCGTCAACATGAAGAGCCTCATTCGCCGGGCTCTCAAGATTTCGGCTCTCAGAGCTGTTGCGAGCTGCCCCACTGTGCTTCCTTTGTAAGTATCCTTGTTACTAGCTGGTTGCACCTGACCATTTGTCGCTGCTACTTCAATAATGTCATCGTATTGTCCTTCAACGTCGTCAGTTTGGGTTGCTGACAGCCCTGTATAATTTTCTTCTGTATTTACAGCTGGCGTCATATACATTATGGAACTATGATCTTGTAACTATTACTTCCCTTCCCCATAGCTAGCTACGCTCGTTTCGAAATTCGACTTTTAGAATGCACTCCCCCACGCCTTGAGGCGGAGTTAGCAAACTACAAAATTAACACATGTTCACTATAATTGGGACTTGTTCAATATAATTGGGACTAATTGGTGTTAGTGGTTATTGCTTGTTATCGAGTGTTAAGGCCAATCAGGATCCAGCTTATTTTAGGCTACCTGAACCCAGACGACTCCTCTGACCTGAACCATTAATATTATTCACTAACAAGTCTGTTACAGCTACACCTCTTTGTTTTTTGTTCAGTAGTTTGTGGGCTGAGCAGTCCTAGTTTTGAACGGATACTAATAACGGTCACTTACGAAAAGGAAATTGAGTGAAAGCGACAACGCTTTGTTTGAAACAAAAATCCTTGTAAATCTCATGTACTTCTGAGAAATACGGCCTCTAAGACTGGAATTGAAAGATAGCAAGTATAATAAATTATGTAATGGATTCCATGGTTATTTCAGTATGAATGAGCGTCATCAAGCCTGATGAGGTTTTTGAAATGTGTTACTGGTGGAATTAAATAACATTATCTGATAATAGTGGAGCTATTTATATCCAGCTAGAAAATTCGCCTGATCAAATTGAATAGCGCGCGGGCGTGCTTCATATTCCTATTGAGCACGCTGATAACGTCAATAAACTATTCGTAATTCCTCGAGTTGTTGTGAGCTTAGCAATCCAGAGTCTCCTGAGTGCATTCATAACTCAGCAGTACACAATGAAGCGTTTACCATGTGTTTTATAAGGAAATTTAAGAGGAAACGTTTGAATTTGTTCACCGATAGTAAGGAAAAGAGGTGAGTGTTGTTCAGTTGTTGTTGTCATCTCTGCGAGCTGTGCTGGCTATGGCGTGAGATCATTCTTTGCAAAGTTGTTTTCTCTCAATAACAATTTTTCGGTGAATTAATAGTTTTCCGGCACCTAAATATGGATTTTACAATCATTTTAGAGTACACTTTCTCTCAGCTTAACTGAACATAAGCTTAACTGTGAGGAAAAAAATATAGGTACGTAAACATTGACGCGTACTGCTTTAAGGGCCTTATCAGATTGACAATGTTGTCCGCGACATTCCTACACGCAAAATTTTATCCGGCAGTTTAGATTAAGAAGAACAAGTTTATTTTGACTTCGTGTCGTGTCAGTGCATTTAGTTCGAGTCGATAGAAAAAGGTAAATCATGTCGCAGAGCAAATGAGAATTTCCCGCGCAATACGATAATTATTATTTAATGATATGTAAGCTTTAATAACTTGCGGTCCACTGGATATCAACCTTTGTTGACCTTGAAGGCTTGTTAGCGATAACCAAATCATGTTTTTTACGTTAGTGGATAATATTAGTGCAATACTCCAATCAGAGATTGCCGAGGTCATACAATACGCTGTACAAATTTGTCATAATATGTCGCAATAGATTATAGGCAGCCGACAATATCTTTATTTTTTATGAGGCGTAGTTAGCTTTCCAAATATATAGCGCAGTAATGATTCCGGACACAAACTGAAAACTCGAAATTTTTTCTTGATTTGCAGTCTGAATAAAACAGAGCCGGTCTCGTAATGTACACCCCGTCTTAACATTAACAGTTACTGTATTCAGAAAACCGCATGGAAAATATTGGTCTACTTTAATGTGGCGCCAAACTGAAGGTCGTTTGCCGCGAACTGGAGCCTCTTTTTGTCAGCCAAAAAAATACATCCCTAGCAGGAGCTCGGCCTGCCTTGGACATTTTTCCATTGCCCGAGATATACTTAAATGGTTCTTTAAGAAAGTTTCGTTTTCGTTCCTAGTTCATTTACTTATCACTTCCACGGAGTCAGTCCTTGGTTATGAAGAAGTTTAAAAGAGTGCTCACCTCCATTACCCTTCGCTGATAGTAGCCTCCATTCTCCATGAATTCAGTGAAGAGTTTTATAACTCAATCGAAACCTTGGGCATAAATAAAATCATGGTAGTAATTTGACATTCTCAGTTTGAACGCTAACTTTTTTGTCCCTTTTGATTAACAGACCCACACCACAACGCCGCGTTTAGCACCCAGATGAGGGGGGCGTAAGGGTTTGCGGTATTGGGTTATTTTTGGTGCGGTGTTGCGGTAATTTTTATTTCAAAGTACGGTATTGCGGTTTTCAGAGTCCAAGCGGTGTGCGGTGAGTTTGAATTTTATGTCGCGGTAGTCGGTGAAAAAATCGTTGTGTCGCGGTGATCTGCTTCTTTTTCATGACAAGAGGGTACAAATCGTAAAAGGTCTCCCCAGGCTCCCTAGCTAGCCTGCGTGACCTGCCCGTCTTCCTATAGTTGCACAGTCGGGGATCGTATATATTGCGCAAACAGTCCGGCCGAGACAAATCGTATGGCTTGTAGTTTCAGTTAATACTTGATATGATTAACGACATTAATTTTTTGATCCAATGATACGTAAACATGTCGCATTATTTATGACCTCATGGACCCTGTGGGAATAGTCAGCTTGGTTAACCTCCTTACCAATCTTACCGCCACTTTCGTGCCAGTCGCGAAACAATGGCGAGCGATCCAGAGGGTCAACTAAGTGATCAGTCAGATATTCCAGCAA